TATAGAAGCTTTACTCTGACATGTCTAGGTGTGCTTTTATTTTTATTTATCCCAATAAGGCACTGCTGTGCCCCTTAAATCTGTAGGTTGATGCTTTCCACAAAACTTAAATTCTCCAACATACTTAAATTTCTGTTGACTGTTTTTCATTTTGATCACAGGTCACATTTTTCCTGCTTTGTCTCATAATTTTTTATTCTATGCTGATCATTGTATATGACATAAGAGGTAATATTATGTTTTCCTTGAGGTTGTTGAGCCTTGTTCTGGGAGGTGTTTCAATTATTGGCAGATCCCATTGATCCCATCAACTTACCTTTAGTCTTTGTTAAGGTGACTGAATATATTTTGGTTTTGGTCTTAGTTCTAGTATATATATATATATATATATATATATATATATATATATATTGGGCTTCCCAGCTGGCTCAGAGGATAAAGCATCTGCCTGCAAAGTCGGGAGACCTGGGTTTGATTCCTGGGTCAGGAAGATCCCCTGGAGAAGGAAATGGCAACCCACTCCAGTACCCTTGCCTGGAAAATCCCATGGACAAAGAAGCCTGGTAGGCTACAATCCATGGGGTGGCAAAGAGTCGGATACGACTGAGCGACTTCATTTATAACTCTCTCTCTCATCCTGTGTGTATCTGTCTACCTAGATACAGATCTCCAGAGAGAAAGAGAGAGAATATAAACATACAATGCTTTTTCAATTAAGGAGGTTATGTTTACTCTTTCACTAATGATTAAAATTATTAAGAATAAATAAAACTACATAGAACATTTATAGGAAAAAATTAGAATTCTGCTAAAAGATTCAACATGGAAACATGTCTTATACTTAGAATGAATAGATCCTTTGGCAGTATAAATTAAATATAATCCAAGTAAAAACTTCTATTGGAACTTTTTACTTTGTCAGACTCCAGATTTAAAAAACATATTGTTCTTCCATAAATAGAAAAGTCCAAAGATGGAAAATTCATGAGGTAAAAAAAAAAAATCTATCCAGATGTTATATGTATTATGAAGCTTTAGTAAGATAAAGGATTTGAAACTTAGTATAAAAATAGAACAACTAGAGTAAAAAACAATATAATAAAATTAATATAAAAATAGAATAAGAGATGTATAAAAACTCCAACACATATATAAATGTTGCATATGATAAATGTAGCATTTAAATGCAGTGAGAAAGATAAATTATATAGGAAACATTGTTGAACAAATAACTAATCATTTAACAAGAAAAAAAATTCAACCTGGGGCTCTTGGTTCATACTTTATATACCAATGTAAATTCCATATGGATCATAAATTTAAGGTGTAAAATCCAATTTAAGAACAAAACATGTAAGAATTTTATTTATATAACTTCAGTGTGGGAAAGAACTTGGTTAGCAGGAAATGAAATTGACAAACAGCAATTAAAAAAACTATAAAAATTGACTGACTTGGCATCAAAAATTACCCAAAGTAAAAATATAAATAACAAGCTGAGAGCAAAGATAATTTTACCAGGTAAATAATAAATACATATCTTCCTTTCTTGATATGTAAAGAGCTCTTAAAGGACATTTGGAAAAAGTCATTATTTAATACACAATTGTGTAAAAGACTTGAGTAAACATTTCATGGATGAGTCAGTCAGTCAGGTCAGTTCTTCAGTCATGTTCAACTCTTTGCGACCCCATGGACTGCAGCACGCCAGGCCTCCCTGCCCATCACCAGCTCCTGGAGCTTGCTCAAACTCACGTCCATCAAGTCAGTGATGTCATCCAACCATCTCATCCTCTGTCGTCCCTTTCTCCTCCTGCCTTCAGTCTTTCCCAGTATCAGGATAGTTTCCAATGAGTCAGTTCTTTGCATCAGGTAGCCAAAGTATTGGAGTTTCAGCTTCAGCATCAGTTGCTCCAATGAATATTCAGGACTGATCTCCTTTAGGATGGACTGATTCGATCTCCTTGCAGTCCAGGGGACTCTCAAGAGTCTTCTCCAACACCACAGTTCAAAAGCATCAATTCTTTGGTGCTCAGCTTTCTTTCTAGTCCAACTCTCACATCCATACATGACTACTGGAAAAACCATAGTTTTGACTAGACGGACATTTGTTGGTAAAATAAGGTCTCTGCTTTCTAATATGCTGTTTCAATTGATAATAGCTTTCCTTCCAAGGAGCAAGTGTCTTTTAATTTCATGGCTGCAGTCACCATCTGCAGTGATTTTGGAGCCCCGAAATATAAAGTCTGTCACTATTTCTGTTGTTTCCCCATCTATTTGCCATGAAGTGATGGGACCAGATGCCATAATCTTAGTTTTCTGAATGTTGAGCTTTAAGTCAACATTTTCACTCTCCTCTTTCACTTTCATCAAGAGGCTCTTTAATTCTTCGTTTTCTGCCATAAGGGTGGTATCATCTGCATATCTGAGGTTATTGATATTTCTCCTGGCAATCTTGATCTCATCTTGTGCTTCATCCAGCTCTGCATTTTGCATGATGTACTCTGCATATAAGTTAAATAAGTAGGGTGACAATATGCAGCCTTGATGTACTCCTTTCCTGATCTGGAACCAGTCTGTTGTTCCATGTCCAGTTCTAGCTGTTGCTTCTTGACCTGCATACAGATAACCACAATGGTGTGATCACTCACCTAGAGCCAGACTTCCTGGAATGTGAAGTCAAATGGGCCTTAGGAAGAATCACTATGAACACAGCTAGTGGAGGTGATGGAATTCCAGTTGAACTATTTCCAATCCTAAAAGATGATGCTGTGAAAGTGTTGCACTCAATATGCCAGCAAATTTGGAAAACTCAGCAGTGGCCACAGGACTGGAAAAGGTCAGTTTTCATTCTAATCCCAAAGAAAGGCAATGCCAAAGAATGTTCAAACTACTGCACAATTGTACTCATCTCACATGCTAGCAAAGTAATGCTCAAAATCCTCCAAGCCAAGCTTCAACAGTACTTGAACCATGAACTTCCAGATGTCCAAGCTGGATTTAGAAAAGGCAAAGGCACCAGAGATCAAATTGCCAACATTCATTGGATCATTGAAAAAAGCAAGAGAGTTCCAATATCATGGATAAAGAAAAACAAATGATTTTAAACTTTGGGTAAAAAGCTTCATTCTTTATTAAAAATAAAAATTCAAATAAGGCACCATATCTATCTCTTAGATTTATAAAACATTTAAAAAATCTTAACACATTGTGTGGATGAAGTTGAGTGAAAACCAGCATTTTATACAATTTTAATGGCACTTCTCAGGTGACACAGTGGTAAAGAATCTGCCTATCAATGCAAGAGATGTGGATTTGATCCCTGGGTCAGGAAGACCCCCTGGAGGAGGAAATGGCAAACCACTCCAGTATTCTTACCTGGGAAATCCCATGGACAGAGGGGCCTGTGGGGATGGGGGTGGGGTTCAGTCCATGGGAAAGAGGAACCTAGTGGGCTACAGTCCATGGGGTCACAAAGAGTCTGACATGACCGAGCATACATATTTTTCATGAAGGTGTATATTTTAGCTTCATCTTCACATACAATTTGATCTCATTACCCAGGAATTCTCCTTAAGTACCCACCAGAAAAGAATGCTCATTTTAATTGCAGAAAAAGGTTATAAAAAAATACTTGTCCAACAATAGGTTGTTCTTTAGGTAATTTTTGGTATATCTATAAAGCAGGAGAGAAAAAATAAAATGTACAGGCATATGCCCTGATAAGGAACCAAGTTGTATTTTTAACTGAAAAAATAAGAAACAGTACAATATGCATACTATATTACATTTGTGTAAATAAGCAAGGTCCACACAAATATGCTTGTGTGTCCTTGAAGGATACACAAGAAACCAGTAGTGATAGTGACCTCTGACTGTGAAGTTTCACCGCTAGGGAGGAAGGGAGACTTCCTTTCTGGTTGTACTGTATTCCACAGTTTAATTTTTTGTAATGTATATAAATTACTTTTTATTAAATATTTTAAAGCATTATTTATGAGTCCCTTTCCAAGTCTGAGATTCTAGGAAGCTATGGTCATGAAATGGTAATGAGGCAGTGAGACTGGACAGAATCTGAAAGATTTCAGGTCAGAGACTATGTTGGGAGTTTAGAAAACTTACTTAATGAGGTTTATTCTGAGTCAATTTGTAAACAAGTTACTAATATTCATTTCATAGTATTTGTAGGATTTTGAACTATGGATAACTGTGCTATGAATCACATATTCATATTTACATGCTAGTTAGATTCACTGCTTCCTCTGTGACAATGAAAATGCTGTGTAAAATATTTTGACGTCTTGAATGTGATTGAGCTTCCTTTTATAAGCTGAAGGATATCATTCATACCAGCCACCTCTTGGCTTCCTCGCTCTGCTGACCTCTGGTTCTCTTCAAAGGGGGATGTTATTCTGAGCGGGACCGACTGGAATCATGAGATGTTATAAATCTTCTCATCAACAACATTCACTGTATTCACTGATTAAGAGGTGTTAAGTGTAAAGCATTGTTTGGTCATCCTAGGACACTGAATTCATTACTCTGGACAAGGGGTCACAGTCCACAACACGGGGTCTGTCTCTCTCCAAGAGCGACCAGCAGGGCCAATGGGCTTCCACAGTGGCTCGGTGGTAAAGAATCTGCCTGCCAAAGCAGGAGACACAGGAGACGCGAGCTCCGTCCGTAGGTCAGGAAGACCCTCTGGAGAAAGGAATGGCTACCCACTCCAGTATTCTTACTTGGAGAATCCCATGGACAGAGGAGCCTGGGGGGCTATGGTCCCTGGGGTTGCAAAGAGTTGGTCACGACCAAAGCGACTTAGCACACGGGCAGGGTAGCAGATGGCACAGTGGCCTTCCCTGCTGTCCCTGAATTTCCAGGGCAATCACTCCAAGGCTACTAGCTGTCCTCATGAATCCGATTTATTTCTTGCCTTACTATTCAGGGATCAAGTCGCCGCTGGCCAGCTTCAGCCCAGCAAACCTGTGGTCACTGAGCTGATGCTCCGCTGTGGTCCCCGCACTCTGGGGCCACCCAGATCCCGGGTGCCCAGCTCAGGGAGCTTCCAGGCCACTCGGGGACAAGCACGAGACCCAGCGAGACACAGTAACTTGGGGCTACAGCAGCTCGGAATCAGGCCACCTCTCAAATCCAAGGAAGGAAAAGCCCTAGAGAGGGTGAGTTTAGAAAACACTGTGAGTTCATCGGAGAACTTCCAGCTTCATCCCAGGTGTCGACTCTGGTTTTGTACCTGGAGTGGTCTTCCCAAAGTGAGAGGTGGTCAATTCTGCAGTAGCTGAGCTCTCAGAGGAGAGGCCGTGCTAAGGGTCTGGGGGGAAGGTCAAGACTTTGAAGAACGAGACTGTGCGTGTGGCTTTGTCCTCCAGGCTGAAGGGGTACCTGCCCAACATCCCATCCGAACACCTGGGTGAAGAATCTGGAGAGCTATCTCAGGCCTGCTGATGCAGAGGCTCTGGGCTTGGGCAGGGGGGACATGCATCTCAATCAGAACCCAGGGGATCCATATACACCAGAGCCCCCAGGTTCAGAATCATCAGGACCAGCTTCCCTGAGCCGGGAGTCTGTGCTTCCTGGTTCCTCCCAGTGGTCACTGAGTGATAGGAAGTGACTTCCTTCTAGAGAGGAGGCCCAGGCATGGAAACTGAGATGAGTTCTGATTCTCCCCAGCCAGGAAGTTCAGTTCAGTTCAGTTTGGTTCAGTCACTCAGGTGTGTCTGACTCTTTGTGACCCCATGGACTGCAGCACGCCAGGCCTCCCCGTCCATCACCAACTCCCAAAGTTTTCTCAGACTCCTGTCCACTGAGTCAGTGATGCCATCCAACCATCTCATCCTCTGTCGTCCCTTTCTCCTCCTGCCCTCAATCTTTCCCAGCATCGGGGTCTTTTCAAATGAGTCAGCTCTTCACATCAGGTGGTCAAAGTATTGGAGTTTCAGCTTCAGCATCAGTCCTTTCAATGAACACCCAGGACTGATCTCCTTTAGGATGGACTGGTTGGATCTCCTTGCAGTCAAGAAGGAGGGCAATTCGGTATCCTGAGTCCCTCTGTGGATTAATTTTGTTTGCTTGAAGGGAAGTGTTTTTTATGTTAATATTATCAGGAAGACTCAGGTAGAGGAGCGGGAGGCAGAGAAGGAGCGATGGGGGGGGAGGCCAGACATGTATTCACTTTAGAGACATTGCCTGAGCACGTGCTCTGGGCCAGGCAGTTTTGCACGTGCCCAAGGACTGGGGGCAGGAGGAGAAGGGAGAGGCAAGGGATGAGAGGGTCAGATGGCATCACCGACTTCATGGCCATGAGTCTGAGCAAGTTCTGGGAGACAGTGGACAGGGAAGCCTGGTGTGCTGCAGTCCATGGGGTTGCAAAGAGTTGACATAACTTAGCGACTGAACAACAATAAGAGCCAAGGCCTGAGTTCTTGGATAACAGAGCCTGGCTTGCTTCTCGCAGGACCAGAGGCGACAGCAGGCCCACAGCCAGCAGACACCGCCCCGGCCGCCCTCTTGGTTCACAGGCCAGCTGAGCGCCAAGGTCCACCCTTACCTGCTTTTGTTCTGTCGCATCCTTGCCTCTCTGAGTGGAGCTGGGACACCGAAGGTCTGTGTCCCTCTCCACTTAGGATTCCTTCCAGGTCATTTGGAATTCATTCCCGGGACTCGCTCCAGATAGAGTCGCATACCTCAGAGCGCTGGAACGCTCACGGATGTTGCTGTTTTAACTGTTTTCTGCAAACTTTATGTGTCCTAAGTTTGCTAGGCCCCAGAGCTTCCTAAGTGCCTGATTTGAGGAGTGGTAAGTTTTGCAGAGAAGATAAAGCAGAACAAAAGGGAACACGTTGTTTTTACATTAAGCTGTGGACTTGCTCCCAGTTCTCTTGGAACATGGCCTCTCTCATGTAATCTGCTTTCAAACAGCCCTGAAGTGGCCCAGCACAGATGTGTGAATGAGCACCCGCCAATCTTTGGGCGCCGGTTGTAAAGATGGCACCAGCTCACAGCAGGCTGCCCTGCAGAGAGGTGCAAACTAATATCACCCCCTCCTTCCACTCCTGGCCAGGTGCTTGGGCTCTTTCTAGCTGTTTTTCCCAAGATGACTTCAGCTTAGACGCTTCCAGTTCAGCTTGGCCAAGCTGTATCCATCCGATTGTCATCAACGTCACCACTGCCATCCGGGGGTATTTCCTGTGTGCCTCCTGCCAACTGTTGCCAATTCTACTAATGTCCTTGACTGGCTGTCATGTGCCAGACCCTGTGCTAAGCTCTGGGCAGAGGGCCACAAATAGCTTTCTGGCTCAAGGAGCCCAAGCTGGAAGGATCAGGGTAATGTGCAAACACAGCATTTCAGAATAACGCAAATAGCGGAATGAACTGGATGTTACAGGGACAAAACAGGGTCATTCAGAGGTTATCAAGGATAGTGATGTCCAGGAAGCCTTCTCAGGACAACAGTCCCAGAGAAGGATGAGTCAGGATGATCGAGGCAAGGGAAACCAAAGAGTTCAGAAGATTCCCCAAGGGCATCGACACCTGGGTCCAGGGTCAAAATCAGAACCGGGAAAAACTCCATCTCTACTTCTGCTGTGGGTCAGAAACAGGATGGGAGGTTGGCTGAGGCTCTGGGTTCCTTCCTACATGGACCAGTGAGATTTAAGTCATGTGCTTTCTCCCAGCATGAGTCCTCATGGTTCTGGACCTTCTCAGGATAGTCTCAGAGAACCCCTGCCAGCATCTCATCCCACCCTGCCCTATCGAGGGACCCCAGAAGCAAGGTCCAGGGAGCCAGGCTGGTCCAATCTGGAGAGAACTGTGGATCAAGATCATAAGGTTCTCTCTGGTTTGGCTTTGGTTTGGCATCACCACACAGCTGAGGCCTTTCAGTTAGGAAAATGAACAGTTATCTAAGTTCATCTACTATCTAGCCCACACTAACATATCCCTGACCATCCCCAAGATGTATTTTATGGTTTTCTCTTTCGGACAGAAACCCATTAAGGATTATGTTGTTGTTGGTCAGTTGCCCAGTCATGTCGGATGCTTTGCAACTCCATGAACTGCAGCATGCCAGGCTTTCTTGTCTTTCACCATCTCTCGGAATTTGCTCAAATCCATGCCCATTGAGTCGGTGATGCTATCTAACCATCTCATCCTTTACCGCCCTCTTCTCCAATTGCCTTCAATCTTTCCCAGCATCAGGGTCTTTTCCAATGAGTCAGCTCTTCACAACAAGTGGCCAAAGGATTGGAGCTTCAGCTTCAGCGTCAGTCCTTCCAATGAATATTCAGGGTTGATTTCCTTTAGGACTGAATGGTTTGAACTCTTTACTGTCCAAGGACTCTCAAGAGTCTTCTCCAGCACCACAATTCGAAAGCATCAATTCTTCAGTGCTCAGCCTTCTTGACCATCCAGCTCTCACATCTCTACATGACTACTGAAAAAACTAAGGATTATGAATGGCTTTTCATTATTATAACTTCTTAGTGTCTTTTAATCTAGGATATGTCCCCCTGTTTTCTTTTAATGGCTTTTTTCAGACCAAGTTTTTTTTTTTTTTTTTTTTTTAAGGGCTTTGTTTACAGAAACTCCTATTCTGGAGGCTGCTTGATGGCTTCCTTGCAGTAGTTTAATTTGTTCTTCTATCCCCTATGCTTCCAGTAAACTGTAGGTAGGTCTAAAGCCTTGATTCAGTTGAACGTGCTTGGCAACAATAGTTGAACGTCATATCCCTGCATTTCATGGGCACATGGCAGATTCTCCCACAATTATTGATGCTGCTCAAGATAATAACTGTCATGTCTTTCCCTAATGAAGATGCATTTTTCCTTTTGAACTTGGAGGGGGGCAGTTAGCCATACGTGATTGTTCTTTCATCTAATTGTTCCAGCATCTATTGTTAGCTCTTGCTTCTTGAATCAATTATTTCTTTGGTGAATGGAAAATTGTGATCTTTTTCTTTTTTTAAAGGAATGAGTTTTCTTTATTGAATACGATTACGAAATGTGACATTGTCTTTTTATTTCTGGTTGTTGTATTTTATTTATCATGCTTATGTATTATAGACTAGTTTCTAATGGTCTGTTCTGATGAACAAAACCACACGAATTCTAAAGGCATTTTTGTGCCTTTGGGCCAGTATTCTTTAAGGAACAAATCCTAAAAGTAGAGAGGAAGTTCTATGTAAGGAAAGTTTTCATGAAAATTGCTCGGATTCTCACCAGAAGGGCTGAACTGAAGCCTTCTGTCTCCAGCAGCAAGGCTTGCACCCTGCTGTCCTCTGGGCCTGCCCAGTGCAAGAGAACCATAGTCTCGGGGGTGGACGGCAAAAGTCGACAGTCCTCATATGAAAATGAGGAATGCTTCATAAACAGAGAGAGAGAAAAAAGAAAAAGGAAAAAATACAATGCTGATTGAACTCAACAATTCACAAAACGGTGCTCTTCAGAATTCTCTCTTTCCTGACCAACAGTAACCTATAATGAGAGTTTTCTCCTAGCCCCTGCTCCTTCTCAAGTGACTACATGCCTGCGTGTGTGCTAAGTCACCTCGGTCGTGTCTGACTCTTTGAGACCCCAAGGACCGTAGCCCGCCAGGCTCCTCTGTCCATGGGATTCTCCAGGCAAGAATAATGGAGTAGGTTGCCATGCTGGGAGATCCTGTATGGGATCTTCCAGACCCAGGGATCGAGCCACGTTTCCTGCAGCTCCTGCATGGCAGGCAGCTTCTTTACCACTGAGCTACTGGGGAAGCCCCGCAAGAGACTATAGTTCCTTCCAGAGAAAGAACTGTCTCTGAAGGTGACCACTTTTGCCTTCTGTTCCTCTTTCTTTTTTACATCACACACACACACACACACACATACACACACACACACACACGTCCCCCCAGGTTATGAATTACCATGTATTCACATTTGTATGAATAATAAGTTACTATCATCTTTATTATTATCATTGATGCTCAACTCTCTGTCCTGAATATGGCCAGTGGGCATCCCTTCACACTGGCCCTGGTGTGCTTGTGACAGGACTCCATTTGTGTCTGAATTCTTTCTCCCTCTCTGACAGGAAAAGACATCCCACCTCACCCTGTGACTTTTCTTACCCCAGAGCAGGAATCAGCATCGAGTCCTCATTTCTGTAGAACTGGGAACAGCATTTAGGAATCAAAGTCGAGATGCTGAATGTGGTCCCTGATACTGGGCTGTCCTTGCCGTCGGGGTTTAATAATGGATAAAGCAAGTTCATCTGGATATTCCAGCTCAAATTTTGGGCTTCCCAGGTGGCCCCAGTGGTAAAGAACCCACCTGCCAATTCAGGAGATGTAAAAGACTCAGGTTCAATCCCTGGGTTGGGAAGATCCCCTGAGGAGGGCATGGCAAACCCACTCCAGTGTTCTTTCCTGGAGAATCCCAAGGACAGAGGAGCCTACAGTTCATGGGATCGCATAGAACCAGATGTGACTGAAGCGACTTAGCATGCATGTTCAAATTTTACATTGCAAGATATTCCTTTGTCGTTTAGTCGCTCAGTCATGTCCAACTCTTTGCAACCCCATGGACTGCAGCCCACCAGGCTTCCCTGTACTTTACCATCTCCTGGAGTTTGCTCAAACTCATGCCCATTGAGTTGGTGATGCCATTGAACCATTTCTTCCTCTGCTGTCCCCTTCTCCTCCTGCCCTCAATCTTTCCTAGCATCAGGGTCTTTTCCAACGAGTCAGCTCTTTGCATCAGGTGGCTGAAATTTTGGAGCTTCAGCTTCAGCATCAGTCCTTCCAATGAATACTCAGGGTTGATTTCCTTGTTCCTAACTTCTTTGAATTTATATATCATTTTGCATGGAAAATGTTCCTACTTTTTTAACTTTATCATTCAACATTATTACACTGTTTCAAAATTTTCTGTGTGAACCTCCTAGTATCTGATAGGTGAGAAATGGTACTTTCAGTATCATCTGAATTTGCACTTCTCTTACTGTGAGTGAAGCTGAATATCTTGCTTATGTTTCAGGGCAATTTTCCTTTCTTTATCTATGAACTGCCTGATCAGGTCACTTGCCTGTTTTTCTACCCAGTTTTTGCTCATTCTTTTTCTCTACTTTAAGAGAGCTTTCTCTAGATCAGGGCTAAATCTCCTAGTTTTTGACAGAAGATGTGAGTATGTTCCTCTGCTCTGTCATTGTCAGTGTTTGCTTGCAGAGGTTTTTATTTCCTAAAAATAGATAAGTGGACTGCTATTGGCCGAAATGGCCTACCAATACGCTGTGGTACAAACACAGTGTCCAACGAGCAGGATGAACACTAGAGGTGAGCTGTCATTGGTGCAGCTGGTGTATTCAAGGTGATGCGTGGCTCGAGTCTTCTGAGAAGCTCCCACCTGCTCAGAAGAGGTACAAGACTCCAGCTAAGTCCCTGGGCTCTGCCCCAGGAACCTTTTCGACTGAACCTTGGGTATCATCCCTGGCTCCATCCATTAAGTTTGGAAGAATTCTGGTTGCTGGACACCAACCAGTAAGATGACTCAGTCCTGAACCAAGGGATGTGCTCATGTTGACCTTGAGTGAAGCCTTCACAAGAAATGCTGCTGCTCACCCCAAGAGCAGA